GTGGTCAATGACATGAGACAAAGTATATGTGAACTGCTGTATGGAAAGTGAATTTGCTCTGTAAATCTTCACCCAAATCACAATTAAAAAAAAAAAAAAAAGATACTCAACTTTCTTTTTAATTGTGGTAAATATATTTGTAGGAAAATATTTGCCATTTTAACATTTTTAATGTGTACAATTCAGTGACATGAATCTCTCTCTCAATAAGATAATTATAAAAGTATAGTGAACATCCACTGGTGTCGATTGACAAAGAACCAAAAGTTTGATAATAAAATGCTGACAAGGCTGTGGGGAAACAGGAATTCTTCTGTACTGCTGGTGGAAATACAAATTGGTGTAACTCCCATGGAGGGCATTACCTGTCCAATACAGACGCAAATAACCCTTGCCAGTAATTGTACTCCAGGAATTTAACCATTATATTCTCATACTATTGTTAGGTGCAGCTGAGTCAGTTCCAACTGAGAGTGACCCCATGTACAACAGAACTGACCAATCCTGTGCCATCTTCACAATTGTTACTATGCTTAAGCCCACTGTTGTCACTACTGCGTCAATCCATCTTGTTGAGGGTCATCCTTTATTTTACCAAGCATGATGCTCTTCTCCCTTCTCCAGGGACCAGTCCCTCCTGATAACATGTCCAAAGTACATGAGATGAAATCTCGCCATTCTTGATTCGACGTAGCATTCTGGCTGTACTTTTTCCAAGACAGATTTGTTCGTTCTTCTGGCACTCCATGGTATACTCAATATTCTTTGCCAACACCATAATTCAAAGGCATCCATTCTTCTTGACCCTTCCTTATTCATTCATATACTCATATATTCATTACAAGCAGAATACAATGTTATTGGCAGCACTATTAACAATAAAAGACTGGAAATAATCTAATGTCCATCAATAGTGGACTGGGTATGGGACAACTGGATCTTCACATGTGAAAGAGTGAAACTACACTCATTATCTCACACAAAAATTAACCCAAAGTGGATCAAGAACATAAATGTAAGAAGTATTGCTTTGGAACCTAGTTTGTAACAATGGATTCTCAAATACGACACCAAACGCATGATCAATAAGACAAAATAAATAAATTGGACTTCACGAAAATTAAAAACTTTTGTTCATCAAAGGACTTTAACAACAAAGTGAAACCCAAGGAGGGGTTGCTATGAGTCGGGTTTGACTCAACAGCACATAACAACAACAACATCTATCAGATAAGGGTTTAATATCTAGAATATATAAAGAACTTCTATGACATAACAACAAAAAGATAAATTCAATCAAAAAATAAGCAAAGGACTTGAATAGACATTTCACCAAAGAGGACATACAAACAGCCAAAAACACATGAAACAATGCTAAACATTATCACCCATTACCAAAACCAACTGCTGTTGAGTCAGTCCTGACTTGTGGCAACCCATGTACATCAGAGCAGGACTGTGCTCCGCAGGGTTTTCTACAGCTAATGTTTGGGAAGCAGTTCACCAGCCTTTCTTCTGCGTTGCCTCGGAGTGAATGTGAACCTCCAACCTCTCACTTAGCAGCCAAGCATGTGAATCAAAACCACAACAAGACACCACCTCAGCTGCATGGGGATGGCTAAGACAGAAAAAGAAAACAACAACCACTGGTGAGGCTGTAGAGAAACTGGAATGCTCACCTACTGCTGGTAGGGATGCAAACTGGTGAAGCCGCTATGGAAAAGTCTGGCAGCTTGTCACATACAGAACTACTATGTTGTTGTTAGTTGCTGTTGAGTTGATTCTAACTCATGCCAAAGCGTAACTACGCTCCGTAAGGTTTTCAAGGCTGTGACCTTTCAGAAGTGAGACCGCCAGGCCTTACTTCCAAGGTGCCTCTGGGTAAGGTGAACCTGCACCTTTCAGTTAGTAGTCCAGAACTTAACCATTTGTGCCACTTAGGGATTCCCAGAACTATCATATGATTCAGCAATTCTACTCCTAGGTATATAGCCAAGAGTCTTTAAAGCAGTGACTCAAACAGACAATAGACACCCATGTTCACTGCAACACTCTTCACAATAGCCAACAGGCAGAAACAAACCAAATGTCCATCAACAGATGAATGGATAAACAAAATGTAATATATACACACAACGGACTCAGCCATAATACATGCTACAACATGGACAAACTTTGAAAACATTATGCTGAGTCAGTCAGTCAGTCACAAAAGGACAAATATTGTATGATCCCACATGTGAAATATGATGAGATGAAAGCTTATTAGTAGTTACCAAGGATGGGAGGGAAGAGGAAAGGTGAAAGTCATTGTTTAGGAAGCAGTGAGTGTCTGTTAGTGAAGATGGAAAATCTAGCAATGGATAGTAGTGATGGTTGTATAACATGATAAATGCAATTAATTTTACCAAATTGCACATGTAAAAAACGTTGAATTGGCTAATATTATGTTATATTTTTACACAATAAAAAATAGATTGGTTAAATAATTATGGCAAAACCATACAATTAATACTATCCTGCTATTAAAAAAAGAGACAGAGAGACCCCGGCAGAAGCCTGTTCATCATCTGCCTCTATACTCTGGATCTAGATGGTTCAACCACACTGCTTTTCAGTGGGGAGATGTATTGCAGTGAATTGCTTGATGTGGCCCTTCTAGCCATTGTCCTCCATTCTGTGGTGTTTCGTAAATCCCATTATCCATGCCTGTTTGGGGTGGTGTGGTAGTTAAGGTCAGGTATCAACTTGGCTGGGCAGCTGGTAGTAGTCATTCCCTACAATGACTGGCAATCGACTCTGTGATGGGATTTAGGTTAATTCTGTTGGGACAACACAAGTGGAATGTATCTTGAGTCCTGCCTTGCTGGAGGGTATAAAAAAAAATCACCACCCTTAGCTTCCAGGAGGGTTTTACCTATGAATCTTCTGGGAAGATTCGCTTGCCTCTTGCTCCAGCTTGGATCCTTGGCTTATCGTCATCTCACCCCTGGATTTGGGACAGCAGCCACCATCTGATCTGCTGATCGAGGTTCATCTAACCCCGAGAGTTGGGAGGATCCGCCAGACCTACTCACGGACCTGGGACTCGCCAGCCTGCCAGCCTCCACCACCACTACGTGAGACGAACCCTTGGGTGTCTGTGAGTTCTGTGAGGCGTTACAGCGAAATTCAGAACCCTAAGACTGGGGAAATTACTGGGAGGAAGAGGAGGGGTTAATGTCTGAGATGATGGAGTGGCATGGTAGTTTGGACATTTGGGACATCTTTGACCTCCGCCTCATGGGGACCAGCCTCGTGCTGATCTTTCTAAGAGAAATTGTTCAAGCATGTATCTTCTTAGTCACTTTACATAGTAATCTTAGACAAAATGAGAAATCATTCTCACTCCACAATGGGCAAAACTACTAAAAATGTCCACAGTTGAGAGCACAAAATATTTTTTAAGAAAAAGAGAATGAGAAAGCTCTTTATAGACTGAAATACAAAGATCTCCAAAGCACACTATCAGCTGAAAAGAGCAGGGTATAAAGTATGCTACTGCTTGTGTGAAAAGCAGTATTATGCTTCTTCATGCAAAAAAAAGTCTTTAGATAAACACCCAAGAAGCAGATGACAGTAGTTTTTTTGGGAGAGCAGGGACTGAGAACTAGGTAGACACATGATTCTGTGGGAGGGAAACTTTATTTCATGCCTTTGATACTTTTTGGGTTTTAAATTGCCTACTTCCTGACTTTAAAAAAAAAAACAAAAAACATTTCTTAGCTATCAGCTGGACTCTACAAAGATGTCAACTGGTATTTTGTAACAGCTAGATAATGAGAATTGCTGGCTAAGGAAGTTAGTTCTGCCAACCAGTTATGAGTATTTACTCCAGTCATTGCTATTAGATAACCTATTAGATCACTTAAGGTGCTTATTAAAAATTGAGCCACCTAGCCCTACTCAATCAGAATCTCTGAGACTGGTCAAACCCCTGAGACTATGGCCCCAAGTCATCCGTCAGCCCTACAACTGATCTTACTCCAGTGGCTTAACTCTCAGCCAAACAACAGACAGGCCTATGACCTGACCATCTACTCCAGGGAGATGCACTCCTTAGAACCATCAAACAGAGCAGCATTTGTACAGAGAGAAAAGTAGGGAGGCAGGAATGCATAGGCAAGAAGGACACAGGAAAAAGGTAACCACAGGGAGGAAGTGGGAGGTGAGATGTTTCACTGCGGGCAATGTAACCAGTGTCACAAATCAAAATGTGTATATGAAAACTGTTGAATGTAAAACACATCTGCTTTGTATAATTTCACCCAAATCACAATAAAAACTTTTTTAAAAAATTGAGCCACCTGGACCTACTGATACTGCCTCAGAAACCCAAGGAGGGGTTGCTATAAGTCGGGTCCGACTCGATGGCACATAACAACAACAACAAAGACTTACTGAATGAGAATCCCTGGGGTAAAGCCTAGGAATCTGTATTAACAAGCACTCTGAGTCTGAAATAATCAGCCAAGCATTAGTACTAAGAAGCAGACCTAGATAGCTATGAGGAACTACTGATGTATTTCCCCATGTACGGATGTATGCTCCTCTGAAAACAACCTAATCTCATTCCCTTCCCTGACAAGTACTGAGAAGACAAACATGTGGAGCTTCCAATACTGTGATAAACTAAAACCAAACCCAACTCACTGCCTTAAGTCAATTCTGACTCATTGCGATCCCTGTTGGGTCTCCAAGGCAGTAAATCTTTATAGAACTAGATTGATTTATCTTCCTTCTATGGAGTGGTTGGTGGGTTTGAACCGCCAACCTTCTGATTAGCAGTCAAATGCCTCAGGTACCATGCCACTCTTAATACGTGACAAGAACGATACACATCACCTCCTAAGGGTTCCTCTACTTACTTCCCACAGGCTCCCCGCTCCAGCTGACTCGCTCCAGATCATCGTCGTCGTCATCATCCACGAAGTCTCGAAGGCTGTTCACTGCTCGCTTGGACTCCTTTAGCTGCAGAGGGGCATAAAGCAGGGCACTCAACAATCACAGCCTCTCAGCTCCTTTTACAACCAAGAAGGCTGAGCAATCGGGACGTGAAGATGGCCAATCTTCTCCCCTCTGCAACCAAAAGCCTAGCCTCCTTGGTATTTGTCAAGGTGCAGTCCCACAGCAAAAGAGTTAGGAGAAACCAAAGCCAGTTTTGAGCTCATATCTCATCCCTGGCAATGACATACTGTGTAAACCTCTCCAATATTAAACATATTCACCTCTCCAAAATGGAATCGGCTGCTCCATTTGTAAAATAAGACAAAATAAAGTAGGAAAAAACTTCCAATCCAGTTTGTCTTCAAAAAACAGTGGATTACATCACACGAATAAAAGGCTTGGGGTCCTTGGGGGAGGAAAAAAATACCCTAAGAGAAATGAATCATCTTATGAAGGTAAAATAAGAGCAGATTTGGTGTTTACAATCCCTTAGGCTCTTTTCCATTAACTTTTTCTAATGATATGACCAAACCATTTCTAAGCCGAATGAAGACAGGGCCAAAAGCCAGGTTACCTACGATACAAGGGAAAGAAATTTTAGAGTGGCACATAAGGAGGTGTGATCTTCAGCAAACCTACCTGTGAGAGCTCATCATCTTCATCATCAAAGGTGAAAGCCTTGAACTTGGAGCTGTTCCAATACTCCTCCTCATCACCCTTTGTCCTACTCATCTGGAGAAGACAGACATATATGTCCTTTTCCAGACTGCCCCCAAAAGAGCTTCAAAGCTAGGTTCCTTTGCTATTAACTCCCAGAAATCAGAGATACATAAAATCTGACAAAGCAAATAGTGAACCTGCTACATAAAATCAGATCACTGGGTCTCTGACTGATCAAACTGTATTTTTCATCCTTTAATTACTCACAAGTATACATTCATTCCTACCTAGTTCAAGGTCCTCTCTCAGATAAGACACAGTCCCTATGGAGACTACAACAGAACTGGGGTGTTCAGCACACGTATGTGTAAAGGTAACAGCACAAGGCAGGCAAGTGTCAAAAGAATCCATCATAAACAGTTTAATGCACAAAGACTAATTAAAGCATTTACAAAACTGATTATAGCTGAATCCACGTGTTCACTGCTCTCGGCTTGGGAGATTCTGCAGTGAATAAAACCGACAAATATCTGCCCTCGTGTCTGCTTGTTAAGTGCCTGAAAGGACAGAAGCAAAATAATTTCAAAAAGTAGAACTATCTTGTGTAAATTTTTACCAAAAACACAATACAGCAAAATATTAATTTTTTTAAAAAAGAATTAGCCTGTATTTTCAAGCCTTCAAATCATGATTAATGTACTAACAACTATTGATTAAAATTTGGGAAGTGTGATATGGCCAAGGAAACAAAATATATAAAGTATCAGTCAAAGACCACAAGTTCTTCTCATAAACAAACAAAAACAACCAAACCCACTGCCATGAAGCCAATTGCAACTCATAGTGACCCTACAGGACAGAGAACTGTCCCATTGGGTATGGAAGGCTATCTAAATCTTAACGGAAGTTAGGGTGGCTGGTGGGTTTGAACCACTGACCCTTCGTGTTAGCAGCCAAATGCTTCAACTGAATGCACCACAAGAGCTATGTCCTTCTCATAACTACTCTAAAATTAGGCTTCACCCTGAAATAATGCTTTACCCTAGAATTACAAACTAAATCATCAATGCCAACTGGTTTAAATGAAAACAATGGCTTAAGCCAAGAATGAGCAACCAAAAATTCTGCATTACCAAAAATAACTCCAAAGGCCATATAGTTTCAAATTTTAATGGATCACTTGGCTTTTCCTTTCATTTCAATAACACCTTCTCAAAAGAAGCTTGAGAAATACTCATCACCAAAAGTGCTATCCCGGGCCAGTAACACAGTCTCCACTGTGTGCCATATCAACTGTGTTTTCAACTTGGGATATAGGGCAAATGCATGGTGCAAATCTCTCATCTGATCCCTTCCTATAACAGACATTACTAATTGACTGCTACTGAACCTAGAACGTGGCTTAAAAACTGTTTTCTGTATTTCGTTCCAGGGAGTCAAAACCAAATCAAAAAGAGTCAGCAGACAGGACACAATCATCTCTCTTGGTTGTACAAACATGGGCGTTGTAGTCAGGCATCCTTAAATAAAAATCGTGGTTTCTCCAATTCTGTGAAAACTGGGTAAATGACTTGTAAGCCTTGGGAAAAATGCTACATAAAAAATCACAGGGCTACAGTAAAAATAAAAAAAGATACAGGAAACACCCAACAAAGTACCAGATAGAAAGTAAATACTGGATGTTAGTTCCTTTTAGTATAGGTATCTCACTGACATTTTTGTCTTCCAGTTTCCTCATCTGTAAGATGGGCATAACAAGAGAAATCTACCTTATAGGATGCCGTGAGGATTAAACCAGTTAATACTTCAAGTTGATTCTGACTCATGGCAACCACATGTGTTTCAGAGTAGAACTGCACCCCATGGTATTTTCAATGGCTGTGATCTTTCAGAAGGAGATTGCCAGGCCTTCGTTCTGAGGCACCTCTATGTGAATTTGAACTATCAACCTTTCCACTATCATCAGAGCACCTAAATGTTTGCCCAGCCCAGCGACTCCTAAAATAGTATCTGTCACAAAATTATTCCTCAGTGTTAACTTTTACTATGAAAAAATCATCATGGTACCTTGGAAAAGATTAAAAACACAGTATTTTTAAATAATCCTGAAGGTAAAAATAATAATATGAAATTTCCAAGTGTGAACATCACAAACATCAAAAGTGTGTGCAGAGCATGTAGATGTCTCTGGTACACGTGGCAGTGTACAAAGCATTTTGTCACTCATTTGATCCTCAGAACAACCCTGTAAAGCAGACCTGGCCATTTCCACTTCCACTTCACCAATGAGGAAAATGAGGCACAAAAGATTAAGTAGCAAAACCACTTTCTTAATTAATTACTCTTATTCCAAACGGAAATCTAGGTTTTCTAGCTTCTAGATCTACTCCATCTTGCATGGTCCTTCTAACTACTGACTTTTCACCCATGGGTGGAGGGCCTCCATTGGAGACAATCAGTAAACATCTACACAGATAGACACAGAATTGTCTAACAAACCCCATGGTTCACCAGATTTCTGGACTGTTTTAAGTCATGCAACAGCTGTAGATATTTGACACAGACACATACTTCTAGCACCAATCACAACCTACATTTACTCGGCAAGTAAAGAAATAATGATTTAAAGGCTCTAGAAGTTATAAAGAAATTATAAAGAAGACCTGGTAGGTACAGTGGTTAAGAGCCCGGCTGCTAACCAAAAGGTCAGCGGTTTGAACCCACCAGCTGCTATAAAGAAAAAACATGGAGATCAGCTCCTGCAAAGATTATAGCCTTGGAAACCCTATGGGACTGTTCTACTCTATCCTGTAGGGTCACTACCAGTCCGAATGGACTCCTCTGCACGCAACAAAAGTTATAAAGCAACGAGGTACAATTTCCAGTGACTGAGGAAGATGCTTCAATATGATCTACAATACTTCAGAGGCTTGTCCTTACCATCATCTGTTTACTGAGAGCCCCACAGGTAAGGTGGTAGGAACTGCAGGTGAGGGGAAAACAGACTATCACAGAGAAAACAGGGATCAGCAAAAAACCACAACCAACACGCTCTGCCTCAAGGCACCCGAGAAATTACTAAGAAATTAAATTCTCACTCAATTATTATCTTCCAAGGCAGGCCTACACAGGTGAGGCTTGCTTGTGAATTAAGACCAGGGAATGTGGGTTAAACTAGGAAGACTCTGGACTAGGATAGGTACGTCCTGGAAGCCAGGGGTCCAGGCGCCAGGGCCTGGAAGATCCCTGGTATAGGAAATGTCCCACCGCGGTTCATCGTTCAGAACCAAACATCTGGGCTCCCTCGCAGCCCCGAACAGGAGCGGACTCCAGCCCTAACTCCAGCGATCGCCTCCGACTGGAACAGGAGGGCCAGGCCTAGGGGTCTAGAGACGCCTCAGAGGAGTGAAGGATTGAGATGCGGAGAGGCTGGATGCAGCTAGATACGCCTCCCAAGGACCTTGGGAAACCCTCACCTCTTGCTCATCGAGCCCTCCCTACGAAGGGGGAGCCAGCCTCTGCCGCCGCTGGACCTGCCTTTCTAGTCAGGTTGTGAGACTCAAAGAACGGGCGGAAGGGAGAAGTCGGAAGCACAGGGATAAATAAAGAGGCCGCAAGGCATGGTGGAAGTTGTTGTTTATTTCGTCTCTGTCGTCAGGCGTTGTTAGGGTAGATCATGGGGATTCTTGACTACAGCCCCCAGAAACCCCAGCGCGCCTGGCCTAGGTCGTATCCTTTACTTTCGGCCCGACCTTCCGCAGTTATCTAGCGGGTCACTCAGCAAGACTACAACTCCCATGAGGTTCAGCAGGGCCAATTTTAGGGGTCAGAGCAAAAATGAGACGTGTTCTTTGTGTTCCTATGGATGAGAGATTATCATGTGGGGAGTTAGATTTTGAGCCTCTTTGGGGACAACCTGAGGGACTTAAAGGAAAACTAGAACAGGCTAAACCTACGGTCGGTCAAGTTGGAACGGAAGTAGCTGGTGGGAGTGGGGAGGAGCCGGAAGTAAGACGGGGAGGGGGTGGGGGGTGGAGGGAAAAGCAAGCCAGGAGGTTCTGCGGCCGCTTCTAGTAGTTTCCAGGCGCTGCCAGGCGGCTGGGACCAGGCGGTCCTGAGGCGGTGGCTTTGGCTGTGGCTGCTTGGGAGCCGGTGGCGGCGTGATCGGAAGGCCGATGGCCAAGTGGGGTGAGGGCGACCCACGCTGGATCGTGGAGGAGCGGGCGGACGCCACCAACGTCAACAACTGGCATTGGTGAGGGTCAGCAGGGCAGGCCGCGGGAGCTTTGTGGTCGGGTTGGGTTTGCGGGTCCTTGGAACCTTGGCCCGTGCAAAGTTGGGGCAGAGGCAGACCTGTCTGGAGGTGGAGTGGGTCTTTCCTGGGGCAGCGTGCGTAGCCCCACCATCCACCCGGTCACCCCGAACTCTGTCTCAGTGTACGGGGGGTGGGGCGACATGTAGGGCTGCGCCTCATTGGAGGGGGATTCAGAGAGATGAGAACAGAAACGTCTAGCTGCTGCAACCGTTCTGAACTGGGAGATTCTTCCACATGTGGCCAGAAGAGTCAGTGAGACCCAAAGAGAAGGACCCAGTGTAAGGGTCGGGCCCAGGGGGCTGGAATTCCCATTTTGTGGCGTAAATGCTAAATTAAAAGTTAAAGCGAACCACTGCCTCAGTCCTATGTGCTAAGGTTTGGAACGTGCTTCGCAGGTGCTCCGGAGCGCAGTGGTGCTGAAGCCGCTGCGGCCTCTCACCCGGAACTATTAAATGGGTTGTGTTGTAACTTTGGGGACTGCCCCGTTGTTGCCAGGCAATCATTTTATAACATTATCCTTAAAAGCTTTCCCTCCATCATGAAATCTTCCAGAAAGAATAGTACTTTGTTAACCTTCTTTGAACTTTGTTCATTAGCTGTTGCATTTACTTTATCATTTAAGTTGTGGCAGCTGTTTGTGTACATGTCTCTTCTACTAGTTTGTAAGTTAGAAGGCACATAGTGCTTTTTCTTTATATCTCCGCCTGCCTCCTCTCCTCCGAGTAGACGCAGAGTGCTTAACCTAATTTTGGTTTTGTTGTTTGTTTTGAAGACGTGGACTTGCATTGTGTGTGTGGCCATCTGGATAGCACAGAATGTGTAGGGTGTTTATAGCACAGCCTGAATTTGACAGGTGAGAACACTGTGTTAGTGAGGTTTAGGGGATTGATTTATTCCTTATTGGACTTCTGAGCTAAGTACTGCATTCTGCAGCCACAGTCTGTGCTCTTGACCCTAGCAAGATGGGTGCAGTTTTCCACTTAGTCAAATGGGTACGCCATATTAAAAAGGCAAATAATGACCCAGGCACCATCATGCTGAGAAAGAAAAGTATAATTTGCCATTCAGTTTGTACCATCTCACACAGCAGTTGACCTAGTTGGCTTAATATGGCACTCCTGTCCTCTTCCTAAAGGAAAATAACATGTCTGCACCTGTACTGGAGTGGGACTGGGGTTTTTATGTTTCTTGCATACTATCCGTGAGGCCTCTTTTAGCCTTGTGATCTCTTACGTAGAGCAAGCATTGTATCCTCCATTTGGCTTGTGGTCCATAGCTGTGCTTCTGTTTTGCAGGACGGAGAGGGATGCTTCAAATTGGTCCACGGATAAGCTGAAAACACTGTTCTTGGCAGTGCGGGTACAGAATGAGGAAGGCAAGTGTGAGGTGACAGAAGTTAGTAAGCTTGATGGAGAGGCATCCATTAACAATCGCAAAGGCAAGCTTATCTTCTTTTATGAATGGAGCATCAAACTGAACTGGACAGGTGAGTCTATGCTGAGCAGTCAGGGAAGGGGCTGTCTGCATTTTGGTTGCCTGGGAGCCAGGGAGAACAATTTTAGAGAGATTCCAAACTCTTCAAGGGCGAAGACAGATAGTGCTGCTTTGGAGGCCTGCGTAACGTAGTCCTGGGTATTGACATTTTTGCTCTGCCACTGTGAATACTAAATGGCTTTCTGCTTTGGGTCTCAGAAGCATCACCAATGAAATGGCTGAGCTGCTGCGTCTTTGGGCCTTGGTCTTTGTGGGGACATATGAAGATCTGACATTTCCTCAGGCTTCTCTCTCTCTTGGATGATTTTAAAAAGAGAGGGGCTGTTCTGCTCTGGACCTTTTCTTACCCTCTCCAGTGTAGCTCTACCAGGTCAGGTCGTGGTGCTGATGATACTTGTGTGTGATTGTAATTTGGGCTGTTTTATTCTGTATCATTGTCCTTCCCATTAGGAAAGAGCTGGGGCTGTGCTTGTGCCCTTTGGATGGCCGTGCCAGCTGTGAGACTGAATTTTAAAAGACGCTGAAGCAGTGTGAGATAGTACTGTCTGTGTATGGGGCAGGCATGAAATTTGTGCCTCTGTAAACATTTTTCCAGCGAATGGCAATAAAGAGGGAAAAGGTTGATATACCTGTCTATCAATTTTCTTCTCTTTAAGAAAAGGATGTTTTGCTTTGTTTTTTAAAGTACACCTAAGGCATAGGCGTCTGGAAAGAACATTAGGTGTCATCTTGCCCAGTCTACTTTATTTAGATTGAGAAACTGAGGCCTTAAGAATTCAAAGTGAGTCACTGTTCTCTTGATTAGTTTTGAAATACAGTCAGTTCTATAACATGACACATGTTACTAAAAACCACTGTGCTATGCAAAATTGCTCAATGAAAGCCACAGGTTTAGAGGGAAAATGGGGTGTTAGGGACACAATACCCTGAAACTTTGTTAATGTTTCATTTAAAATAAAAGATAGGAACCTAATGAAAGTAATTGCACGGTTTTACACATGTTATATGGTAAGAAATACAATAATACTGCACACTTTACCTTGAAAAGGACCTGAAGTTTACATGTGAGAGTGGGCATTGGAAGGGTTACAGCCTGTGAGTTACTGTGAAGTGACAGGAGGAATGTCATTGGAAATTGGAAGGAACGTTGTAACATTAGATGGTGGTGTGGGGGCTCATAACATGCAGTGACCTGATCAGGCTAGTAGATAAATGTGTGGGGAGTGTGTGTTTTATTTACCCTACACAGCTCAGTTCAGCTGTGGGCAGTTCTTCTTTGTTCACCTAGTTTTGTCACAGACGAATTTACATGTGAACTTTGCGTTTTGATCAAATTGTTCCCTAATGTATCAGCCTCATTGAAACAAATTCATGTTTTCAGAACAGGCCTTCCGACAGATTCATTCATGGTTGATACAGCAAAATTGAATTGAAACAGACCCAAATTGATAAAATGTGAGTTTACCCTAACAGTATCTGGAATAGAAAAAATTACAGTTCGAAGCCTTGGAATGGGAGACTTGGAAGAGGTGTAATGGGCCCTTTCAGGCGGCTTCTTACATGAGCCTCCTGTGGGAGATTGGATTATTATCAGGACTGTGGAGAACGACACATTTAATGTGACGTGTTTCGCCACATCTTTGAGCCAGGCACCTGTGTTTGCACCTCTGCTGGTCGAGAGATTTGGTTGCTCTTCGATGCGCATGCTCCCCTTGTTTTCTAGGAGGGAAATTACATTTCTAATAGTCGATCTGTAATTTCTTATGTTCCAGTTATGGTTCCAGTAAACCCACATTTTACAAATTTGGATCCATTCTAGTGTTGCTTTGTCATCTATGACTGAACCAGGAAGAACCAGTTTGAAGCCTTGTTTCAAAATAGTAGTTAGAGCACAACTGACTATGTTGGCTTTTGACCCAGTGCCTTCCTAGCAGAAGCTGCTGTCAATTCTGTGCAGATCTTGGTCCCACACTGTAGATCTCAAGTAGTCTGATGAAGAAAAACATTTCTTCTGAGGGGAAAGGGGTTGGCTGCATCTGGCCTGTGGCCTTCCCTCAGAATAAAGAGGGTCTGTTCAGCTGTCCATAAGAAGTGTAAGCTGAGTAGTAGTTGGGATTCCAGAGAAGATGTTTCCTATAAAGGAGAAGACTAAATGACACCTTGTTGCTTTTGACAGGTACCTCTAAATCAGGAGTGCAGTACAAGGGCCATGTGGAGATCCCCAATTTGTCTGATGAAAACAGTGTGGATGAAGTGGAGGTTTGTGCTTCTTAATCCTCTCCTGAGTCTTCTGTTGTTGTTGTTAGGTGCCATGGAGTCAGCTCCGACTCTCAGTGATGCTGTGTACAACAGAACAAAACACTGCCCGGTCCTGTGCCAGCCTCACGATCCCTGCTATACTTGAGCCCATCGTTGCAGCCACTGTACCAATCCATCTTTTTGAGGGCCTTCCCCTTTTTTGTTGACCTTCCTGAGTCTTCTACATTCTCTTATTCTAAGATGAGAAAAATGACCTGTCATTCAAGATTGCTAGTCCAGGCTTGGTCCAGGCCTTCAGAACCTCAGTCAGCATGTGGTTTTCCAAGTATATGGTACCATTAGGAGCTTCCGGAGCAACTTGCATGTTTTTAATTGGCACTTTGCTTTTGTTCATGATGAGAGTTAAAGTTGCCTTTGCCTTGGTAGAGAGGGCTTGTGAAGGAATACTGATGGGGATTGTCCAAGCACCCCAATCCTCGTGCATTTCCTTTGGAAATGT